CCCGATGGGAGTGCTCTCCTCTCCAGGTCTTTTGTACACAAGTGGCAACAAACATATCAAATCCAGCGAGACGAAGGTGGGCTGCTTTGTTGAGCGTCGGGATTAGCTTTGTTTACCAGTGTTTCTACCTCTTTTAATCCCCCTTTATCCCGGATCTCAGGCTCAGAATATGGCAAATTTATTTATAATTTGGTTAATTTGTGCTAAGGCGTGTGTACAAGGCTTTGGCGTCCTTCATTCGACACGTGGCGGTGGGATTGGCCCGGGGGCACGTCTCACTCACGCCTGCTGTCTCTCGGCGCATACCAATAGCGGCTAATCGATGGCATCTTTTAATTGAATGTAGACGGGGGCTGTTTATGCGCAGCAGGAGTACCACACCCCCTCCCTGTCTGCCCCCCCCCCCTCTTCAGGTTTGCACTGTTACCACCTGCCACTTGCAAATCGGATAAACAAATCAAGTAAAAAGATATTCTATGGCTGTAAAGTGGAACTGAGCCCCAAATTACACTGCTAGATTTCACATGTATTTGTTTTTGGTCTGTCAAAGAGATTTAAGCCCAAAGGCAAGACAAGCATATTTACTGTATATAGCACAGTCCATACGCAAATAATCAGAGTGCATTAAAAAAAGTGAAGTTGTAAAACAGCTAAATCAAACTGGATTTGAATAATGTCAGGGAAGAAGCCTGTCTCACATTTTCGGGAAGACTGTGCCTGATTTTTGCTGCATGATTTTGAAATGGTGCCTGTCCAATCCCTGTGCTCCTCAGAGTCCCATCAGGAGGTTGTGGTTTTACTGCAAATGGCAAATAAACTCAATCTAGATCGAAGCCACCACTATCATAAAATACATTTGTTTCAACGCATAAAATACATTTGTTTTTGTCAATTTCTAAACAACTTTCATTACAGTTGTGAATTTGCAGCTGTATTTTCCAAATCTAAAAGGAAATAATTCAAACGCTCCCCCTGGTGGTAGCATATGGTACTGCAGAAATACAGAAATGACCTTTCACCATATCATTACTTATTAAGATATTATTTCACATTCTTAAACATGAAATGGCAATCGTCTCATGGTTGTTTTCAATGGCTCAAAACGATGCATAATATTTGTTCTTTTCATTTTGACGGGGCTTACTGATCCCACAGCCTTATGTGGGTGTCTGAGGACGGCTTGAAGCGGTAATGCCATTAGTCAAAGATGGAATGTGTAATCATCCCTCTCCCTGGCTATCGATTTACCATTAGTCGACAACTATTTAAAGCAAACCTGCGCTAGCATCCAGACACACGCCTTTTTTTTCTTCTCCTCTTAATCACCCGTGGCTCGACCTTGGACTTGTTTTTGGGGCAACATCGCGACATCACATCACGCCCAGAGCGATACTGAGGGAGCGAGGACAATGCATCATGCTTCTGTGGCCCGGGAGGCGAAGGAGAGGGAGCAGAAGGGATTCATGAAGGGGCATAAAAAGGCAGAAAGAGGAAGATGCAAGACAATGGCGTGGGGTAATGGGTCCCTCGTGTGTCGCTGTTCGCCCGTTCGCTCCGTTATTCTGCCGGTAAACACAACAGGTTTTTGTAAATACAGAAATCTCGGGCTCGGTTTGTTGTTGTGGAGAAGGAGTCGCTGTAGCAGAAACATCTCCGGGAGATAAGACGACTGTTGACCGGGGAGAGAGAAGCGAGAGAAGAAGTTTTGTGGGTGTTTGTCAAATGTTGCAAATATTTTTTCTACATCTCGAGCTCATCATGTGGCTATACCTGTGGGGGAAAACCCAGATCCCGTCAGACTCAGAGGCTAAGCAGAGCAGGGCCTGGTGAGAGCTGTGATGGGAGACCTCTGGGAACACCAGGTGCTACTGCGGGTGTGAAGTAGTACCAAGCTGGTGTCCTCGGGCAAGACGCTTAACCTCACTCGGCCTAAAGCCCCTAAAATCAACCCAGAAATGAACTATTAACTCACTGACTGCCAGGCATTTTCAGATTTGAGAAGTGCATTCTGCCAGCAATTTCAGGTGATTTGACCCAACTTTGAAGTGCCACAGAATATTCATTTTTTAGACGATGTAAACACCAAGGGCACCAAATTAAATATTCACCTCTCTGCTTTACTCTGAAAAAAACAGTTTGTTTCTACCTCTTACTGTTCTTGAGTTATTCGCCATAGAACAAAGCATACTTTCACCCATAACACCTGGTCCGAGCAAGAAAACAGAGAAAACGAGCTGTATGTAAACAGGAACATATCAAGCAGAAAAGAGACTTTTAGATGCATTTTTGCTGCTTTAGTGACAACTCAAAACATCTTCACACTTGTTCCATTACAAAAATTATAAAAACATGACTCTGAAATAATACTTTTGATGGCAAATTGTTGGCAATTTATTCACAGATAGAAAATTTAACTGTCTTCTATACCATCAACCAAAACGTCAAACAACAACAACACAAAGATCAATAAAACTATAGATGTATAAAATAGAATGAAGCATGTGAATTTGAGTGTGTGTGTGTGTGTGTGAATGTCAGTGTGCGAGTGAGTGTCTGTGTGTGTGAGTGTGTGTCAGTGTGTGTGACTGTCAGTGTGCGAGTGAGTGAGTGTCTGTGTGTGTGAGTGAGTGTCTGTGTGTGAATGTCAGTGTGCGAGTGAGTGTCTGTGTGCGTGAGTGAGTGAGTGAGTGCGTGTGAGTGTTTGTGAGTATGTCCGATAAATCATGATCAGGTTTGCTGAACGAATCCGAGGCATCAGTAACAACAGCAGCTGATACGCTGCGAGAGGCGGAAGGTGTGTCTCTGCTCTTGCTCCGCGCAAATATGGCTGCAGAGACGGACCTCCACCGGGGTCTCCACTCTCTCCCCTCTCGACCTCACTCACTGATCCGCGAGTCAATCTCTGAAGCAGTGTATACTGCTTATAACTATTCTTTTTCGCCATCACTCTTGCTATACTATCGCTAAACTAGATCACTGATCCGTCTCAATGCTACAGCAGCACGCTCTCTCACACTCCCACACTCCTCCTCCTCCTCTCCACTGACTTATGACTTCTCCTGTGGTGCAATACTGCATCCTACTGGTGGTGATTTATCATTACAGGTACATTTGCACTATATATCAGTGTTGTGGGTCATTAACAAGGTGCGCCAGACATTACTGCAGCCTCCCGTGTAATAACACGAAAAACTCGTCAAACTCGTCATGGGCAGTGAGCGTTACTATTCAACATGACGAGTTTTGTCGTCATGGGCAGTGAATGAGTTAAAGAGAATGAAGATGAATGAATACATATAAGAATTTTCACTTTTTAATTAAATTCAATATGTTTTTTTGTATTGCCCATAAATCACAACAGTAATATCTTGGAGGACTTGCAAAGCTGTCGATTGATTGATAGATCTGTGTTGGCCAAACAGATGAAACACAAAATTATTATGTAAAATTATAAAAAACACATAGCGCCATTGGTTTCATAAGAGGCAAAGATTAATGTCCGTAAATATTGATAAAGTCTATCAGATAATTTTGAGTTGGTTGTAGAATATGGGAAGATATAGAGAGAGGTGGAGACGAAGCGGTGGAAAAACTGATTCCACCGAAACCTGAAAAAAAAATCTGAAAATCTTCTAAACAAATCCAACTCACAGGCATTTACACGTTTTCTCCACAGAAACCAAAAGAAATGTCCAATATCAGCTTAGGACAGACAAGACGCAGCCGGTGCCATGAGGCTGTAATTATAGGCTTGGGGGACGGAGCCAGGTGCAGCTCGGAGGAGGGGCCAGAATAGTCTCTAGACCCTCCTCCATCAGCAAAAAACAACTCTAAACTCTAAGATTTCTCTCTGCTGTAGCTGTATGTACCACTTCTTTAGTCCTACTTAATCTTCAAACTCAAACGTTTCATAGCCGCATCTGCCGTAGGTGCTAAAGCTAACCGTCTAATCTATATCTAGCGGGATGTAAATATATATGCAGCTTTCCAAATAGAGCCGGTGATGTAGCGTGTGCGTACGAGCGGTGGCATGTGGCTATAAATCGCGCCGAGCAGATGTTGGTCGGTCTCAAACTGTGATCCACGGCGTGTCAACAGCTCTAACCCCGGTTCCTTGTTCCCGCGGCGACGGAGACTGTGGCGCGAAAGTCGAGGGATTTCACACTTGTGGAATCCCATACATCCAGAGAAAACAGTTTTGTTATAGTTTGTGGATGTGGCAAGAGCTGTGGTGTGTGCCGTCTTTGTCTGGTGCACACTGGGTAGAGTCTTGCACAGTTTTTCCAATGTGGTTTTACTGCAAATTGCAAATAAATTCTTGTATTTTGTTTATGGATCAATGGCTTCTGTCGTGTGTTTGTTGATGTTGCAGTTCATGTGTTTGAACTTCTCTGATATGTTGTTGGCAAATCGACGACTTTGTATCGGCACGGCGGGTGAGTGGTTGGCCCTCTCGTTTCTCAGCAAGAAGGCCCTGGGTTCGAATCCCGGTCGGAACAGGGTCTTTCTAAGTGGAGTTTGTATGTGTCTCTCCATGTCTGCGTGGGTTTCCTCCAGATGCTCCAGGTTCCTGTGTGTTCGGCGTCTTGCATCCGTCGTGGCCGTGTGGAGACTACTATATTACTTTTGAATGATCTGGAAATGGCTGCAAGTCCTAAGCGTCTTATTTTTGTGTTTCATAATTGTTGTTTTTCTTGCTTTTTTTTGCCTGAGATGTTGCTGCTGTCCGAACCAAGCAGCTACTCCACCTCTGCTGCTGAGACCTCATGTTCTGTTGCTGATTATTATTACTATTGTTAGCTTTTTAGAATGATAATTTTATTTTATTTTTTTATTTTTGTTGCTACTGGACACTTGAATCAATAAAGTATCTATCTATCTAAACTCTGAATACTGTGAAGCGCTTTGGGTGAAATACTCTGTATAAATTAAAGTAACATTGGATTTGCCTTGTCATGCACAATGAGGCCAAAGTCATGATGTTTTGGCAGAGCTGGGTATTATCCTGTGAGTAAGACCCATCTCCAGCCCGAGCACAGAAGCACAGAAGCAGAGAAGCCGAGAAGCCGCAGACAGTCGCCGGTGGAGGCTTGGCGCGCACAGAAGCCATCGGCCGCGTGCAGATTGCGGCGCAGCATGTCCTTCTGTCGCTGCCTCACAGAGCTATAAGGAATCTGTTTGACATTTGCCGCTCGCTCTCCCCCAAAAAAACCACTGTTTCATGCACTGGCTCATGACAACGCAGCCACAATAAATGTTAAGTAATGTCATTTCACAGCCGGAGTCGCGCGCACTCCCGCTGAGAATTCTCCACAGACGATAGGATTCACGCTCGGAGCTTCGCGATAGGTTCTGCCGAGGAGTAGGTGTGAGTTGGTGATTACGACTCTTTCATGTTTCATATGTTTGATGGATGGCTAGACTTTTAACTCTGCCAATCAAAGGACACGTTTTATTTTTTTTATCATGTGGTTGGATGTGACGACAGCAGATCCATGGACCTGTAATTTTTGACATTCAACGGCATTTATTAAAGGTTTATAGGAGGATTTTACCAAGTTTTAGGAAAGAACGACCCTCACCACTTACAACAATAATAATAATAATGCATCGGTTTTATATAGCGCTTTTCATGTCATTACTCATTCACTCCAAACACAGTGGTGATAAACTACTAATATAGCCAAAGCTGCCCTGGGGCACACTGACAGAAGCGAGGCAACCAGTATGCACCATCGGCCCCTCCCACCACCACCAACCATTCACACACACACCAGACTCGTTCTAGGCAATGTGGGTGAAGTGTCTTGCCTAAAGACACAACAGCAGTTTGGCACTTTACAGCCGCTCCACTGTGGCTGCTGTTCCCAGAGGTTAAGTGTCTTACCAAGGACACAACGACAGCAGACAGTGGGAGTCGATGGTGAAGGTCGGGCTCGAACCCACGACCCTCTGGCTCAAGGCCAATGCTCTACCAACTGAGCTACTGTCGCCACAACAAAGCCTTATTTGCAAGTATCACCAAAATGATTGACAATTAGTCTTGATGATCCACCCAGAAAAAAAAAATGCTCCTATATACCTTTAACACATTTATGGACATTGGTCTCTGTTTGTTTGTTATCATTGCATTTCTTGGGTTTGAACTGATTCTCTGATCTGTGTTGGTGATCGACAGCTTTGTAAAGCTTTGTCCAAGATGAGTTTTTCCCTCAATTATATTAGTTATATTCACCAGTTATAAAACCTTTAGTCATAAAGAGACTAAAGGTTTAAACAACACGACTTACTTTCCATCAAAAATAAAAATATAGAAAACTAGATTGCATCTGCAAAACCAAAATAATAACTTTGTAAATATGGTTAGAAAACGCATGATTCTTAGTTTGAATCGCACTTTATGCTATTTAAGACTTAGACTTTATTGATCCACAAGGGAAATTGCGTTGTCACAGTAGCTAGCATAGTATTTCACAATAAAATAAAAATCTAGAAATAAGAAGAATAATAAGATAATATTTTGAGAATAGAATAATCTGGATAGAAGTACTCAGGAATATACATATCTGTGAATATGTGCACAGAATATTTTGTTTAACAATTATATGTGTGTGTGTGTGCGTGTGCGTATGTGTTAGTTAATAGAATTGCATGGATCAGCCATTGTTATTCTGCTGGTATCAATTGCAACACAATACCCTTGAAAATCTTGTGAAAATTCAACAATATCTGTATATAATCCTAACTTTTAACCATGTCAAACCTCGTCTCACACACAGCATCTCCTCACACCACCCTTCCCCCGCTGTCATGTCCTTCTCAACCCCTTCTATACCAAGCCGGTTCTTGCAATATTCATTCGTTCCCTGGGGTGCATGGATCTCCAGGCTGAAGCAGTGTCTTGGAGAGGTTAGCTGTCCCTTGATTGTGCAGACGTTGGAACTGTTGACATAAGTGGCCGCTTCTCCGCAGGGTTCCTCCGCCACTTCTGAGCCAGCGGCGCATCAGAATACAAACGAGAGTCTGGTGACAGATTTCTGGCCTTGTTCGTGCTTTGTTTGCGTCGAGTCCTCGTGTTTTCCAATCATAATACTCTTTGATCAACCGGGGCAGCTGCGGCTTGTAAAGAAAAGCCGGTTGTGTGGAAGGCAGCTGGCGAGCCGTGGATCCGCCGGTGACCACGCCTCCGCACTCTATCCCCCGTCCTCCCAGGCCCTGTCGTTGCTCGGTTGGAAATAAACTGCTCTTTTTATATCGGCGAAACAGGATCACAGCTGGCCGAGCGTCACGTTGACAGATTTTCACAGACGCGGCGCTCATTATCATTGTGATCAATTATTGTCGGGTTCCCAGATGACCGGTTGTGCTCGCCGTAGCCTTGGCATATTTGGAAACAAAGTCGGATCATAAAGGGGCTGTCGCGGCACTTGTGATTAGAGCTGGGTAACTTTCAAACCGCATAAGAATGGAGATATGTGGTAGAATTTGTCGGACTCCTCGGTCTCTAAACAGCCGCAAAATATCACCGGTTTTCAAATAAGGTAAAGTCAGAATGTTCTTGCTCTACACGGCACGGAAACGATGACAAAAACGGTCAAAAATACCTAACATTTTGCTTAATTTGAGCACACTTTAATTGCCTTAAATTATAATTTGCCAGTGGAACAAGGAACATTTCTCGTATGTATGGTCTTGTTTTAAAAAGATCCTAGAAATGGAATGAGAAAAACAAGCAACAGTTCTCGAAAAAAAAAGTAAATGACCTTGTCCCATTTGACTAAAAACCACTCGATTCAAGAAATTATTGTAATTCTTTCAGTGTAAATCTTTTCCTGTTGGGACACACATGTACAGTATTATTTGCAGACAAGATGTTGGGTTAAAACTTTAGATTAGCCCTCACTAATTAACAGATAATTTAGTTATAATTAGCGTATCCTATCCCTAATCCAAGAACCTTTTTTGTGCAGTTTTTCATGTTCTTGGAAGGTTTAATCCAGGTGCTCCGGTTTCCCCTACCACATAACGATTTGACGACTTTTAGTCTTGGAAATGTATTTACTGAAACATATTCATTCCTGGTCATTTCCAGAACTTCATGACTATTTTGTTTTTTTTTCATGTAATTTTTTTTATTTTGTTTTTGGCCTGGACTGGTCTTTACTTGCAGCCGTTTGCATTTAGTCGCCTTTTACCAAACTCTACGCTATAATTAACTATAAATTACAAACAAACAAATTAGCACTTCATTTGCTGTTAATTAGTGAGGGCTAAACTAAAGTGTGAGCAAAGTTTGATGCCCGAGCTTTAACTTTACAATAATGTCCTTGCTTTGCACCAACTTAAATTCAGATTTGTAATTGGTAAGAGACCGGGGTACGGTAGCAACCGCAGCGCCAATTCCATCCCATATACGTCAAAACTGAGCCGGGCGGCGACTGTGGAAGCCTGTCCTATTTCTGAACCCACATATTTTGCCGATTCAATATTAATCAACATTACGCAATATTGCCTTTCGCTTGTCTGTATGTAATGCATTTTTAAAGTCTAAAAGCAACTCAAAATATGTGGCTTTGACAAGTGATTTTTTTCTTTCATCCGAGACCTGGATTTGAACCTTCTGCTAATGCTAAGCTAACCTCAACATTGATGGAACTCACGGCGGTAACTTTCGCTGCGACATTATGGACAGATGAACAGTGCTGGATGGATCGGAGAAGAAGGAGGTGCTAGTGATTGAGAGGGAGAACATGCAAACGCAGCGCTGGGGTCTTAACAAGGGAGTGTGCCACGATGGGCGTTTCCGGTTGATTGATACTCGTGGTCATGGCAGAGATATGGGATCGGTATCGACGTTCAAATGGAGATCCACTGTTGGCGTTGGCAAAGGTTTTTTGGCCTCCTGCTCTTATATCTATCATTATATTAAGTGTTAGACATTAGAACAGAAAGACAATGTTAGTAAAGGGTGTCAAAGTCAAGGCCCCGGTGCCAGATTCGGCCGGTGAATGAATTTTCTTGGCCCCGGGATGATATTCAATTAATGTTAGAACAGGCTGCACAGAGCCGGAAGATTAACGGCTTATTAACCAAGGGCGAGGTCTGTATGGAGAAATATCAGACCGCGGCCTTAACGTACAGACCGAGCCGTGGCGAGGTCTGTGCAAAAAGGCCAAGGTCTGATATTTCTCTGCACAGACCGAGCAAGCGAGGTTAATAAATGTTTTATTATATGACTCTCGTCTGTGTCTTTACCAATGATTTTGAGATATTTGTGAAGTATGTTCATGTCCGACTTGGTTTTGTGTGATACGGGCTGTGGACCGATTGTCATGGTAACGGTCCGAGGAAAGATATCAAATGTGATACGCGCTGTTCGGCCCAATTGTCATGGCAACGGTCCGAGATGGGAAAATATCAGACCGGTAATCAGCCAATCAGAGCGCGCATACGGTCCAAGTCATATAATAAATTGGATTATTCCCAGTTTTCTTATTAGTATATTGTAATGAGAGTAAAAATAATGTAATCTTAATCTATCTTTTAGTCCCATCTATAGTATTAAGTAGACAGAGTCAATTGGAGGCTTCAATCAATACATCAGGAGTAGGGATGTAAATCGGTGACCGTTTAACCAGTGGTTGACCGTAACAGCGTTAACCGGTCGAAGCTGTCGGTTAAAAAAGAGAAAAAGGGGAGCGGGGAGGTCTTTTCATAACGCTATTTTAAGCCCTATTTGCACGATGTGACGAGCAGGTCCGTATCTAGCTGTGTGCGCCAATGTATCAGTAAACTCCGGGCCAACTCTCACGCCGCACGCGCCACATATGCACGCACACGCACACACGCGCACACAGACACACAAACTTTCGATACCACTTTCCACACGCATCATCTCTCCCCTCTGTTACCGTCTGCTAGTTGCACACTTGTGCGGGTCGGAACTACATTGGAGCTTATATTTACACATACACATACATGTATTGTACACACACATACATGTATTGTACACACACACATACCGGCCTGTCGCGCCCATGTTTGTGCTGCTGGTCCTTGGCATCAGCTCCACACACATCACTTTTAAACTTTAGCAGAGACCTGCGAGACGCGGCTCGTCACTCGCTGCTCTGACCATGTGGACGAGCCGTCTTTTGCTTAAAAATGCTTTAACCCACAGCACAGCAGAATGGGAAGATTAAAACATCAGTTCTCTGTGCGCAAAGGTGCCGAAGCTGTTGCGGAGTTTTGGCGCCGCTGCCTCGGCTCTGATCCAGTAGAACGCAGAGCTGCACTTATGAGAAGTACGCGGCTCGAAATGGCTGTTATTTAAAAGAACGAGGACTATTTTAAACTACGCTGTTAACCGGTTTCAACCGGTTAATGAGGCTTGGTGGTCGGTCATGAAAATTCATAGTTTTTTACATCCCTAATCAGGAGCTGAGGACTTGGAACCTACACAAACATTCAGAATGGTCTAAATTCTTTTATCTTGTAAATGTGTCAAGCACATTCTCACAACAGCAGATGAACAATTTGATACATTATGTATTGGCTGTCGATAGCAACAGTCCCATCTCATGCTCTAGCTCTCAGCATTAAACAGACAAAAGGCTTAAAGTAGTAGCTCTCTGTCATTGTAGTCCGGAGAAAGTATCTCTCCAGATAAAAAAAGCTCGGAGACCCCTGCGGTAGATGCATAAGAATCTACAGAGCACCTTCTGAAACTAAGATTGTGAGAATGAATATCTTGTACACAGAAGCTAGAATAAGTCCAGGGCTAGTTCAACATAGACACATGATTGTAAATGTGTCATACTATATCGTCTCAACTGACATAAAGGAGGATTCTTGGTTCTTATGACAATGGCCTTGAGGATATGCAGATTTGTTGGAAACTTCGCAGAGATTAATCCGATTTCTGGATGTTGAAGACCCACAAGTCCCAAGCCACCGAGTCGCACGGGGCAAGACATCTCATGCAAAATGTCAAGTAGCCTGAGAATGAAGTTGAGCGAGAAGAGCGTTAATGGACTCGTTTGGGAGCTGCCACTGTGTCAAATGCAACTTGTACGGATTAGATCAAGAGAGGCCAGATGAATAATTAGCATATTTTAGATTGGCAGAGCTGTGCATTTGAGGTCCGGGCCAGTTCTCTGTGCTCTGCGTTAGTCCTGGGAGGCTGGATTCCACGCACACGCTATGGATATCATGGACTAATTAATGTGAGGGCATCGGAACGCAAATACAGTTATAACCCATGGACAAAATTCAGGGCGCCAATGTTGGTTTTGTTCTTTAAATGACGGAGCAAAATGTTTTAAAAGCCTAAAAACCCAAGACCAAGGACGTGCAGTCAGGGCAATCATGAAAATAATAATTAAATAACATAGATAACTTGGCATTTAAGACCAGGTATTGTTATTTGTACCGACGGTTTATTGTCCTCTTACTTTGCCTGATTTTGTATTGTTTAAACTCACAATGGTTGTATTTTGTCTTTTTTGCTGAACGCCTCCACTCACAGTGCTGGGGGTCGTAGTGTTTTCTTTATTTATCATATGATTCAAAGTTCATAGTTTAGCCTCTGCCTATTGTATATTTGTATTGTTTCTGTTGTGGAATTTTAGCACAAAGTAAGTAAGTAATCTTTATTTATTTAGCGCCTTTCTCAGACCAGAGTCACAAAGCGGTTTACAATTGTTTTTTTTGGGCATTTGTCTCTCACTTCACACAGAGATGGAAGCGGGGCCAGTACAGGAGGCACATGCCAGACCTATTGAACATGTTTTTATCGGTAGGGGAAACTGGAGCAACTGGAGGAAATCTGCGCAGACATGGGGAGAACATGAAAACTCCACTTAGAAAGGTCCGGGATTTGAACCGAGGACCTTCTTGCTGAGAATCGAAAGTGCTAACCACTCCGCCACTGTGCCACCCATAAACAACCAAGAGCATTGTAATACAATCAATAATAATAATAAGGCAAAGGTTTTATTTAACGTTTTTTTGGACACTCAAAAGACGCTCCTCACGTCATTATTCATTCACTCCATTCACTACTGTAGCCACAGCTGCCCTGGGGCACACTGACAGAAGCGAGGCAACCAGTCTGTGCCATCGGCCCCGCCCACCACCACCAATCAGTCACACACTCACCAGACTCATTCTAATGTGGGTGTCTTGCCTAAAGACACAAGGGCACTTTACAACCACTGTGGCCCTCACTGAATCCCCTGCAGGTGGTGAGTACACAAGAGTAGTATTAGTAAGTAATCTTTATTTATATACCGCCTTTTCACTGCAGATCAGAGTCTCAAAGCGGTTTACAATTGTTATTTTTGCGCATTTGTCTCTCACTCCACACAGAGATGGGAGCGGGGTCGCCGAACAGGAGGCGCATGCCAGACTTATACACTTGTACATATTTTTAGTGGTAGGAGAAACCGGAGTACCCGGAGGAAACCTACACAGACACGGGGAGAACATGCAAACTCCACTCAGAAAGGCCCTGGTCCAACCAGGAACTTCTTGCTGAGAGGCGAGAGTGCTATCCACTCAGCCACCGTGCCGCCCAGGAGACTGGATCTTTCAGCAGGGGCTTCAGGCAAAGTAGAGTTTAGTGTCTTGCCCAAGGACACAACAACAGCAGAAATCAGTGGGAGTCGTGAAGTAGGTTTCATGGTGGGCTCGAACCCACGACCTTCAGGCTCAAAGGCCAATGCTATTCTCTTATAACTATTTGATGTTAATTCAGATTGCTTTATCTTAAGATTTCTACAACATTTCTTTTTCTGTTTCGTTGTTCTCTGCTCTTGTTTGCCATGGCTCGAAATAAAGCATTCACCCACTGTCTTTTTTTTTTGGTAAAACGTTGAAAAGAATGATGATGATGGGAAAGGAAACACACCAGACCATCGTGATTCACTACAAGACTTGACAGATCCTCTGAACCACACGTTATTGGATTGGATTGAATGTTCTACTGTTGCCAGATTGTGAGTAATCCGTTTTCTAGGTCGAGTTAGTGCCTCACCAACCGCCCACTGCCCAGTCCTGACACAGCCTGAAGGATTCGTCAGACTCTTGGAATATATGATCAGTATTTAGAGTAGTATAACAGTCTCACATTTTCAAGAAGCCAAATCAGTACGAATTCATAATCTCCCATGTTGTCTAAATATTTTGTTAGTTGACTGCTTTCTCCTCCATCACCAAACGCCTTTTCTCAATTCTTTTGTTCTGTCCGGTTTAAATCGCAGCTGTTTCGTCTCTTCTCTCTCTTGGCTTCAAAGCTATACACAGCCAGCGCGAGGGGCCAAATAATTAATTACACTTTGCCGCGGCGGGAAATGTCAATGATCGAGAAAAACGTGATTCGAGCAACAAAAAAAAGAAAGAAGAAGTCGCCCTTTCATTTCAAAAGCACACAGTATTGGAATAATCCCTTACGCCAACAGTGGATTAGTAATTACATTTCAGAGTGTACGCCACTGGGGAACTTTAACATCGCTCGGAGGTATTTTGCTTTCAAACAAGCCTGATCCGAGGCGTCCCGCGGAGCCTTCTTTAGCTTCCCGCTGTGATGATGACCAGCATATGCCTGCGTTTTGCCTGACAATCGACGAGGCGTGTGATACATATTTCATTGTAGAAATCTTGTGGCATTGGGTATTGCCTCTCAATGGATGTACGACTGAAAAAAAATTCTGTATATATGTATGAAACAACAGCAGAGAGGGAGATATCGCTTTGAAAGTCTTAAGCTAACACCATTCAGACAAGTGCACCATGTCCTTATCCACATTTGAAATATATTATTCTTGTATGTTACAGCAGGGGTCGCCAACCTTTTTGATTGGAGATTTTTTATACAACAGAAATGGCATTGCTGTCTGTATAATTGCTACAACCAATCATGGAGAACACACACACCTCATATACCATTGTACTGAAAAAAAATCCCTGCATTTTTGTCAACCTTCCCTCTATTCGCCAAGGGTTTACAGGAGAACAAAACTAGCCAAAATCAAACTTATGTTTGCCGATGAAAGAAGACAGTCCAGTCTTTCGGAATCTGGTTTCCTATCGCACATAGTCATAGCACACAATATTCTGTGGGTCTTGAAAATCAGTGAAATCATCAAAAAACTGATAGCAGTCAATGAGTTAAATAAGAAATGTATCGACTCAAAAGTGAACAATTCAGGATCATGTGTAAGAATCTTGAATCCTTCCGGGAGCTAACCTGAAAGGGGGTGGCGAGCTACTGGTAGTTCCCAAGCCGGTTGGAGAGCCCTGAGTGAAAGTACAGAAAGTAGTCATTTATTATTTAGTATTTTTACAGACCAAGATCACCCAAAGCGCTTTACAAATGTCATATATGGTTTAATTCGCCACACAGTAATGACGGAAGCGAGACGCCAAACATACTGGTCCATCAAAGCCTCGACCATTCACTCACTCATTACATTCAGACCTATTATGCATGTTTTCAGTGGTAGGTGCAACCGGAGAAAAACCTACGCTGACGCAGGGAGGACATGCACACTCCATTCAGAAAGGCCTGGAGGTGGAATAGAACCTAGGACCTAACCAACACGCCACTGTGACGCCCAAACCTTCAAGTTTCCAGCAAATCTGACAACATGATTCTGACTTGGATTGGATTATACTTTGGTTGGTTGTTCGTTTTAGGTCTGACAGATGTTAAATTCACTGTATTACAACCAACAAAGAATCGGGCAGGCAGGATTGCTTTAAAAAAAAAAAAAAAAAAAAAAAATATTATGTAAGACCACCATGACCTCACATCACACACCCACAGCACATTAGCTACTCCAACACAAAAATAACAATTAAATGACATTATATACAGATATACATTATATACAGCCTATATTGATATTTTGTTTATTTATAACAACTTTAAGGCAACAAATGACATGTATTGATCAAGTATTTCCGAATACCAATAATGTGTTGAGTAGTTTTAGCTGATCATTAATATTATTCTACATTTCTACTCTTTGTCTAACAGTGAAAAGATTTGAATAATTGATATTTCTTCGTCACTATTTGACCTCAGTGATCCAGATTCCAGTTCAGATGTTGTGCATTTTCCTATAATCTCTCCTCCGATATCTTACGTCTTGCCGTAATGAGGCGCATTGACGAAAAACAAACACAAATAGTTACAAATGGAAAAGATGAAATCGATTTGACGTCAATGTGAGCAGAAGATTCCATGAGGCACGGTTTTCCAACACTTGCTGTCAAAATCATTTCGCATTTGCCCACATATTAATGAGAAATGAATTGCATTAGCACGGTTAGCTAATTCGGAATACATCACGTCGCATGGTATTCGATTTTTTTGCCAGACACGGAGGCCTTGGCCGCTGCACCATTTCACGAACCATCAATTATCAACAGAAGCACATGAGAAGGACTGCAATCGGCTGTATGTGTGTGTAGAGTCGCAAATAGGGGACAATTTTCTGGCAGGTTTCCGTGGGGAGTTAAGCTGTGGAACTATGGGAATATTCCTATACTGGTAACAAAGCGGGAATGAATTGTAATGTAATCAAAAGGTATCAAATCCAAGCATAAATATAGGCAGAAGTGATAAGAAAAGATCAATGCGAAATGTTTTTATAGATTTATTTGGGAGTAGAATAGAATTTCTTATTGAATCACTTTTTTCGGGGAGTTGGAGAGGAAGGGGGCGTGGTCTCAGGAGCAGTGTGCTATGTAGGGGATAGCACCTGCATCCTTCAGGGCGGATGCAGACCTGTCGTCCTGTCGGTACTTATTTTCCGATAATGACCTGCGTACTGTACATTATCTCGCTAATTATACGGCTTTGTACCAGCAGAACACACACAAAATAAACTTCAGTCCATTTTCATGAATGCCAAAAGGTTTATTTAAAGACTGCAAATAAAATAGTTCCCAAAGGCTTCCCCGTGGCTTTGCGAGTAACAGTTAGGCTCGCAACTTCAAAACTAGAACTGTACATGAAAGAATTCTGAACATCAGCGGTGAGTGACCCAAACATAAACTCAACCTAAATCCATAAGTTGATCCTCTGCAAATGTGTCATAAAATTTTATTTCATGTTAATGGTTACTTCCGGGTTTACCGTGATCACTTTTTCTCTCATTAAAACGCAGTCCTGTTGTACATGTTTTTAGTGGTAGGGGAAACCGTAGTACCCGGATGAAACCTACGGAGAACATGCAAACTCCACTCAGAAAGGCCCTGGACCGCCCGGGATTTAGAACCCAGGACCTTCTTGCTGAGAGACGAGAGTGCTATCCACTCAGCCACTGTGCCATCGGCCCCTCCGACCACCGCCAACCATTCTCACACACACCAGACCCATTATAGCCAATGGGGGTGAAGTGTCTTGCCTCAGGACACAACAGCAGTTTGGCACTTTACAGCCGCAGCCGCCCCACTGTGGCATCAGGTGTTCCCAGAGGTATAGTGTCTTGCTCAAGGACACAACAACAGCAGACAGTGGGAGTCGATGGTGAAAGTCTTGAGGTGGGCTTGAAACTACAACCTTCTGGCTCAAAGGCCAATGCTCTACCAACTGAGCTACTGTCACACACAGATAGTTAAGAGTCAAATCCCAGGAGCTCTTGACAATAAGATGAAAAAGTCTTTAATGAACAGGAAAAAGATTCATTGACAGATTTTTATTTTATTGTCAAGAGTGCCTCGGATTATTCAACTTGATTTAAATTCCCTTTGAAGCGGCAACTTTCAATTTGGAACATTTCCTGTTTATCCCCATTTTTTTGTTATGCATGTCTTCCGTTTTTACTTTTATAACTTGTTTGCACCGAGAGCCAAAGTAATTTCCTAGTTTGTGACTTCCTGTTACCCACAACGGCAATAAAAAATATTTTGATTCTGAAATTGGCTTTCTTGATTCCCATAAATTTCTATTTTCCCCAACAACAAAAAATTCCTCCCCTCAACATTAACAGCATCTGGAACGGAGCTTTGGACCAAGAGCCACATTTGGACCATCCTGTGGTTTTTGAGAGTAAAGAAGACGCCATGCAAAAGCACTGAATAATTCTTGTTCTGGGTACACCCCCACAGGCCCGGGGTGGTATTGCAAGTACATCAGCGCTCTAGTTCCAGTTTCCATTTTCGCAGCTGCTGTTGGTTCATTCTTTCTCGTTTTTGCAGCGGCCTGAGGATGATGTTGCTGAGGAAGTTACACTGCCCCCTACTGGCCGGGCGCTAGAACTACATTGTTTTTATGCCTCAACTACAACAAGGGGCTGGTCGTTTCGGTTACTTGACTGTCTAAACGGGGCCTAAGTTCTTGAGTAGATGCGGGAGATAAGGGGACACACGGTGCTCCAGGCGGCTTTTCTGACGTGCTCTTGAGGTGCGGAGACGGTGGCATTTTGGAATAACGCAGTGATGCAAGTGTGTTTCAATGCCGCCAATGCATATTTATCTATTTCAATTTCTCCGTCTAATCCAGGGGTCGGCAACTCAAAGTTCAAAGAGCCATATTTGACCAGAAATACACAAAACAAATCTGTCTGGGGCCGCATAAACGTAACTGCCTTGTATAAGGCTTATATGAAAGCAACACAGGCTGTGAGCTGTATTAGCTACTATCAAAATGAGTAAGGCTACAAATAAATAATATGTATTCATGATTATCATATGTATTTTCATTGTAGTGCAAGAGAATGACGCACCATGTGACTACTCTGCTATACAATATATGCTTTAAGTTTAACTTTCCTTTTGTTGCATTCATGCAATTGCAGAAATACAGTAAATAAATCAGTTTTTGGCTCAGTGTGAACACACCTGCATTACAGCACTGTCAGTTTATATCGATCACGTCACACGTCGTCACGGCTAGAGTTCGCTGGAGCTGAATGTCCCGAACGGTGTTTCGCACTTCTTTGTTCCTCGTATTGCAACAAAATTCAGCAGTAGAAGTTGAATCCGCTCCAGAATAACTGCGATCGCACTGTTTCTCTCCAGACTGGGGTCAGCAGCCAATTTTCCACATGACTCTTTTTGTTCTTCAATATATTCTCACAAAGCAAAAAGGAAGCAGTCCTTCCTCATTGACAATGAAAGCAAATGTTCCAGTCCATTCTTCCCTGAATTCTCGGTTCTTATCAACTCTTTCTCAATATAGCTTTGGGATTCATGTGGCACATGCCGGTTTGTTTACAACAGCGGCCGCCCGGCGCGGGGCCGCGTAACCGCGCGTTGCAGGATATGACGCAAATCATTGACAGAAATGTTAAAATTGAATATTTCTCATGCACATTTTTACTACATTGGAAAAGGTTAAGAATGTTGTCCCTCCTACAGAAACCACATTGAAACTAGAAATAAAACATACCCCTCCCACTCGAGGGGCACTAAAGAGCCGCATGCGGCTCCGGAGCCGCGGGTTGCCGACCCCTGGTCTAATCATTGGGTGAAACTTGCAGGAATATTCCTCCTTCTGCTTCTTGTCCGTTTGTTTTTAGGATAACTTCGGATAAATCAAGGGCCTTTCACAGTGTCATCCAGCCATCTTCAGCTCCAAATCCAATCCACTTTATTGACAAGCACATTTTATAACCTGTTTTCAAAGTGCTGAAGAGACAAAAGATTTAAATTTACAAGTCTTCTCCACCAATGTAGTCCTGCTATACCGCATTGTAAAACTCAGAAGCTAAGCAGGGCAGGGCCTAGTTAGCACTGTGATGAGAGACCTCTAGGAATACCAGGTGCCACAGTGCCTGTAAAGTGCCCCAGCGTCGCTATGTCCTTAGACACTTGACCCACATTGAATGAGTCTGATATGTATGTGAAGGGGCCGATAGCACAGACTGGATTCCTCACTTCTGTCAGTGTGCCCCAGGGCAGCTGTGGCTACAGTAGTTATGTATCACCAGTGTGTATGAATAATAATGACATGTGAAGAGACTATTCTATAAAGCACTATTTAAAACCGATGCATCATTTCATTATCATCAGATTAGTTTGAGAATAAATTGGTTGTTTTGATCCTAAAGTTCAGTGAATATGGAATTTTCTTCTACATTTGACCAAAAAAACCTTAAGTGATGCCTCTAGAGAACAACCTTTACAGAAATATTTGGGTGAGGTGTCTTGCCTAAGGACACAACGATCCTTACAGGTCTCCCATTAAAGAACAAACCAAGCCCTGCCTGCTTAGCTTCAGAGGTCTGATGGGATTTGGCTTCCACATGCAGGTTTTCTTCTGTTTATTTTCTTAATTCCCAGTGATCTTGGCTTTTTCTGGAACATGCCACTCATTGCATCTCGAGCACACACCTAGTTTGGTTTTGCTAAAGATAGAAAAAGAAAAATCTCATCATGAGCTGAACACTAACCCAATATGCACTTCATCGAAAACTCATTACACGACGTTTAGAAACTACTGCAAAAGGCGAATTTTGACCATTTTTTGCCAATATGTCCGCTCACAATGCCATATCTCCAGCCGTCCCAGCTTTCTCGAATACGTCTATAATGGTTTGTCCTCAGCCATAAAAACAGCTGCGGGTTCCTTTCATTGTCCCCTATGGTCCTCACCCGCCGTCGCACAATCGCGGCCGCCACAGAAGTGTGTATCTCAAAGACCACATTCCTTATAGCTTAAATAGCGGGGGCATAGAGTGTGGTTTTGTGCTGTAGGAAGAAGGCGACATTTGTGTATAACATGTTTTCAAAGGGATTCTAAAAGTGTGTTGGGCTGTTGGGATCGGCAGCAACTCTCATTCAAATACATCAAAAGCTACGCCCGCGGCTAGGCCAAGATTACCAAACAATCACCTGACATGAATAAATGGACCCCAAATCTAGCGGGAGGGAGAGACCAGATGCTTCTAAACAGGAGGCATTTGGTTTGACATTTTCCTTTGACTCCCGATGGGTGAGGGGAAGAAGGAGACTCAAAGGGGGCCCTGTGATTGGTGCATTGTAAAGCAACGACAAGCAGCCTGCTTTGCAATGAATGTATGTGCGTGCATGTATGTGTGTGTGTGTGTGTATACATATATATATAGTGGTTTGAGCAGTGTGGCGTCACTCAGGCTTATCGTGAGATTTAACCACGTTATTTGTGACACTGTTGAATGTTTTCCGATCTTAAGATATTA